TAAATGAACCCAGGGCCCTGTGCATGCAAGGCAAGCATTCAACCAACTGAGCTATATCCCCAGCCAAGCAGTTGCATTTTGATAGATAAAATTGGGGGATAGCTCCATAGAATAGCCCCAATTTACAGATGAATAAAAAAGTACAATGAAGACAGATCAGAGCATGCTGGTTTGGCATAGGAAGGAAATTTCCAGCTGTTGGCTCATCTGAGGTCAGCTGATGGTTTACCTGTGTTTCGTTTCTTCTAAATGAGAGATGGGTAAAGGTAACAAAGGCTGAGGCCAATGGCTGACACAGGACAGAGTGGATGGGGAACTTGAGAATGAAGCATGTGGGAAACAGTTTCCTCTCCTATAAGTCCTTTATTTTTCCTCTCAAAAAGGATAGATTCTCTTTTTAAAGCCATTTACAAGTCTCCCTACAGCAACAAGAACTGTGATTAACTGAAGATATGAATATTAAACTGGGCAGAGTGACACAGACCTGCAATCTCAGCAATTTAGGAGGCTGAGGCAGGAGCATACCAAGTTTGAGATCAGCCTGGGTAACTTAGCGAGAACCTGTCTTAATATTTAAAAAAAAGGGGAATGGGGTGGGGCCAGGGGTGTAACTCAGTGTTAAGAATACCAATGGGTTCAATACCCAGTACTGCCCAAAAAAAAAAAAAAAAAAAAAAAAGGATCACTTTACAGATGCTGAAAATCAAAGAGGACTGACTAATTGAACTTGAAAGTACTGGTGTAAGATTTCTAAATATGCAATATGCAAATATGCATGAATGTGTGTACATGTGAATAGGCACATGTATCTATAAATACCTGTGTGTTTACGTGTATGTACACATAGGTATTTTCTAGCTCTATCTGTCCCAAAGGCTTAAAAGCTAAGCTACCCCATGATGATGAGAACATGTAGCATCCAGATTTTTGTGTATGGGAGGTACCGGGGATTGAACCCAGGGGTGCTCTACCACTGAGGCACATCCCCAAACCTCTTTGCCAGGCAGAGCTCTACCACTGAGCTACATCCCCAGTGCCCTTAACCTAGTTTTTTTTTTTTTTTTTTTTCACATTTTAAACCTGTTTTAACAAATGCTGTTTTGGCTTTTTTTTTTTTTTTACAGTGCTGGGGATGGAACTCATGTAGCATCCAGATTTTTGTGTATGGGAGGTACCGGGGATTGAACCCAGGGGTGCTCTACCACTGAGGCACATCCCCAAACCTCTTTGCCAGG